GACCTAATAATACCAGGTTTTGGTGCCAAACTGTCATGCCTGAATATAAGGGTAGGAGCACTCGAGTCTAATATTAACAAATGGAGTTGTGTTGAGGGAGTTAAGATCCTTTATATACGGCTCTGCTTGTCTTACTGCCTCTGAAATACAAAGTAACCCCAGAAAGTGCAGTCTTTGGAAAAAGCACATACTTACATCACAAAACATAGCCTAGCCTAAACCAGCCAGAAAATGGTGGGAAACATTCTAAAGATAGCTTGTGCTGCTTTGTCACAGCGGAAAGCTGCTTCGCAGTAGCTGTTTCTAAAGCACAATTAACTAATTGTTATTGAACTAATCAGCATCACTCACGCAGCATTCCTTATGGCAGAGGTACTGCTGCACAGGGGAAGTGTGCCTCACTCCCACCTCTCTTTCCCAGCTACTGCAAAAAAACGGCCAATAAACACTGAACATGTTTCTCTCATGCTGCTTTTCCATCGTGGAAGGAGTGACTGCAGACATCTGCAGATACACCTTTTTGTTCTTTCCTGGGAGGTGTCATCTTTGCATTCCTTCTCTAAACCCATGCTGCAAGGAAGCCCCTTGCATTTTGCTTTGCCCATTCTGCAGATCAAGTCTTGCTGTTTTATCTTGTGTCCTTGTGTTTGTTATGTTGTGTTTGGCTTTTAAAATCCACTTAACTGTTGCTTGCCTACTCCATAACTTGAGGGCAGTGGCTTCAGCAGAAGAAACGATCTGTTCTCCATGCCACTGGGGACATAAGTTCAATAAGATGAGGATGGAATAGGCTAAACATTTGAATAATAATAATATGGGGGTTATTTTAAGAGCTGTTAAAATAGGGGACTGCTGGCAGAGTTTGTGTGGGGGTGGCCGGGGAATCCGGAGAGAGATGGAGATTACACCAACATCTGAGCAGCAGAGCTGATCCTGATGTGACACAGGAGGATGGATGTCTGAGCCCTTTCCAAATGCTTTCCACCTCTGTTTTCCATGACTGTGTGTCCCAGGAATCAGTGTGTAAACTTCAGAGGTGCTGCATATGCAAACTTTGTCAGCACATGCTAAACTGAATATTGCTGCATCTTCTCTCTTCTGTTGTTACTAGGTAGATAAGATTGCAGCTGGGATGTCAGAACCACCCCTCCGTTATAATGTGTAGACATACAGATTAGAAGCTTTTTAGGCCTGGAGCTGTGTCTTTGTTCTGTGTTTATGCAACACATTGCACAATGAGATTCTGGCCTCTAGGTGCTAACACCAAAATGCAAATATATTGATTACTAGGGAATAAAAGCAGGCATGTTCACAAAGGCATGCTTTGATAAACTAGGGAGGAAGTGCTTGCTAGACAGAAAAGGATCAGAGGCCTTTACAAAACTGAAACTTGCTTGGGATTGTTTGGAACTGTGGGATCAAGCTGATGCACAGAAAATCCTCAGTGTCTTTTCACTGCATTTTTCTCCTCATTTTTCTTTGCCTGCATGTTTATTTAAACGGCATGAGTGTCAGGGAATCTTGTCCCAGTCTTGTCTGTGAATTTCCTGACATAATACTGGCATTACAGAAGCAATTAGAAAATCAGTAGAGGAGAAATCTTTTCCTACCTGGCAATTGGAGCAGATGTAAGGGCAGCAAGGAATGCTTCATAAAAACCGTTACCGAGTATACCAAATGAATCACAAGGATTTGTAGCCTACCTGTGCTACAGAGCATCGTGGCAACTGTCACTGAGAAAAGGAATGGTAGTTTTGTATTGATGAAAAGCTCTGGGTGACAGAGAGCAAATATCCCAAGGAAGCAGTGAGAAAAAGTTAAGGTGAACCTTCTGCAATGCACAGAGCTCTGTCACAGGCAGGCCACTGGGGATTTTAAGCACCTTCTCTTTAAAGGTTATAAGCATTTGCAAGCTCAAATTGACTGCAGTGTGAGCAGAGGCTGTTCAGCACGACTGGAAAATGAGGGCAGTGATATGTTTAAATGTGAACTTAGATGTGCAACTTTATTTATGGGCTCATCTTGACACTTGCTGCATTTCCCAATAGAGTTGTTTTTACTAGATTCTGCCAATCTCATCCCAGTCCATAGTTATTGTTATTTTTTTTTTTTCCTAATTACTATACAACCTGCTCAGCCTTTCTCCTTATGGTTTTGGCTGAGAAAGTGTTTCAAGGAGGCAGTCTCAAAGGTGAACTAAAATCAGACAAATATCTGCATGAAATTCCAAGGCAGGATACATGCACAGAATTAGACTTCATGGATACATACTTTTTGTATTTTCATGGGAGATGAAATGCTTTCCACCTGCCAAGAGCTGAGTTTGGACCCTCAGGGGTCTGTGTCACTCCTGCTATAGTTGATAATGTCACTAACAGCTAAAGCCGTGTGAGGTTAGCTTTAATCTTGATTTTTATGTTTTCATGCTTTCAACAGCCATGAAAAAACTCAGAGCTCAGTAATCTTGAACTGCATTCCTAGAAGGTAAAAGGCTTTTGAATTCACCTTTAAAATGCACTTGCTTTTTATTGGCACAGGCTGTCCATACATACAGTGAATGGTTTGGGTTTTCAAACAGGCAGAGGCCTTAGGGATGTGTTTCCTTCTTTTTAAAGTATTTCATTTTGCCCTTAATGTAATGTGCTGTCTGCACAGAGCCACATCGAGCATCAGCAGCACTGTTCTGCTGTCCTTCTGTCAGCAAGAAGTCTGTGCTTAGAAGAGGAGGTACACATCATCCTTTGAAAGTTGAGCAGAGGGACAGACACACAGGGCACAAAACCAAACAATTTACATCTCATGGAGGATCTGGGGTAGTGAAAAGAAATGTCATTTTCAACACCAGCCTCTTTTTTCTTTCCTTCCCATCAAATTGTCTGCCACTGTGCCAGCAAAAGTGCAGCTCCAGAAGTGAGTGTGTCACTGCAGAGTGATCACTGGGAGGTTTTAACCATTGTGTTTCTCAGATGTGCTCCAAAAAGGGGTTGAGGAAACATGGTGTTTTTCTGGCAGCAGGTCACACACGCTGACTCTTCTAATGGTCACATCTCAGAAGCAGCAATTGTTGCAGGCTGGCACAGGGGATCCAAAGAAAAACACTATTAAAGATGCTGCTTTAGACCTGGGTATTGAGAACACTTTGAAGCTGTCAGCTGAGGACAGGCAGTAGTGTCACTACCATGAAAGAAAATACATTGCTAAAGTGGTCCATTTTCTTCTGCGATTGCACATATTCCTGTTTCCCTGAGCATGTCATCGTCTGCAAATCTCCACGATGCATTTTCAGGCTTGTACTGTGTGATCAGCTTGGCCTCACACTCTGATGTGTGCTGTGGAAGTCTCAAAATCTTGAGCTTTTTGGTCCTTGACAGGAGTACTGTTGCGCTGAACTTCCTGCGCTCCACCATGAAGCCCAGAAGACAGAGCCACAATTAAACGAGTGCACCCCTCTGAACAAGCTGTGTTTTACTGGTGGTCACCGACACCTCATGCAGTCACTATGTGCAGCTGAAAAAGAAACAACAAAAAATATTATAAACAAATAGTTTCAACTGAGCCCCGCAATAAAGGCTATTTTCAATTTTGCCGTTCACGTTTTAATTGTACAGCAATAATTTTGCAATTGAGTTGCCGATGGCAAACATGCAAAAGACATTAACTTTATTTATGTTTGGGATTATTAATGTGGCTGTTAAAATTCCTCCAGTTAGTTGTGATTGAATTGTTTTTTGTGCAATTCTGTCGTTTAATGGAGCGGTAAATAAGAATTTCTGATAATGAGCCCAAGCATCTGTCACAACAACCTGGCGCTGGTTATTAACATTTCCATTAACGGCAGGGTGGGCAGTGATAATATGGAAACCACACAGTTAGAACAAAATAAATAGTTGGTGTCAGGCTGAGTGGGTGTTAATTACTATTTTATTTTATAACTTGGGGGGAGGGAGTATTGGTAGAAAAGTGTGACTTATGAAGGTCATTCTCTCTAAAGAAGGAAGTCTCCAGAGGAATGGGTAACAAGGGCTATCTAACTCTAGCAGTGAATGTTTTATCACTTCTATTTATGGCCCATAAAGGGGCAGAGAAAAAAAGAGGAGCTTTCTCAGGTGGTCAGGGTGAAGGCTATGGCACCGTGAGCATACAGAAAGCAGTGTACCCTTCGCCCTGCCTTTCTTTCCCTACTTCGGGAATTTGAACAGGACACGCTTCAGCACCTTTTCTGTAAACAGAACATGTGCTGTTTTGTTGAGACCTGCCCGAGGCAGAGACAGCAGGTCGGGAGAACAGACTGTCCTTGCTAGCTGCTGGGGAAGAAAATCCACCTGCACTGAGCTGGAACCTGGCAAAGGGAAGGATGGTGTGACCCAGGTGCACTCTAAGATTAGTTTTCTGGCATAGCACAATGCAAGGAAGAAATATCATCAGGAGCCAAAGAGGGCCAGTATGTATGTGTGAACGTATAATCAAAAAAGAGCTAGCAAGTAGCAACTAAAAGTCATTTTGTCATTACATAAAATATTAATTGAATTGCTTAGCATCTGACTGGTTTGGGAGGTAATTTTGGACAGTATTTTGACCGTGAGTCTTGGACCCTTGCAAAGAGGCTGTTATAAAGACTTGCTGCTGAGAGGGTGGCCAGGCTGATGGTGGCAGGAGAGCTGCCTTGCTCCCAGTCGCTCCCAGCATTGCTGCCCAAGGCAAGCCCAAAATGATAGAATGAAGACAACATTCTCGTTTCTTTTTCAAACCTGCTGGCAGGATCAAGTTGGTTCAATGTCTAACCCAGCCTGTGTGGGAGCAACCACCTCTGGAGGCTTGGCTGCTCCTCAGTCCATGTGTGCTGAGACTTCCCTGTGATAGATACCTCCAGGGCTGACTCTCTTAGCTGACTTGCGGCATAAACAGAGCCCATCCTGAATCCTGCAAATGGGAAATTGCATCCTGAATATGAACTAGTTTTGCTTGTCACTATTAATTCTTTTGTCCTGCTTTCTCTCTAGCACCAGCGCTGGCCCCACAGAACATCCAAATAAACTCCCTTTCTGCAAGCCAGTTGGAGCTCACCTGGGACCCACCTCCGGCTGACAGCCAGAATGGGAACATCCAAGGCTACAAGGCAATCTCCCATTTCTCCTGGTTTCATTTATCTTGCTTGGTGTTGGTATTACTTGTAATTCGTAGAGCTATCTCACAGTTGCCCTCACTGCATAAGGCAAATTAAAACAGCATTCAGATTGTAGTACAGAAATGGCACTGAGTCCCAAAACAAAAAGAAAGAGAATGAGGGGGAGAGAAAAGAAGTGTGTTGCTTTTTGTGGAGAAGGAGAGCATGGGGAAACAGGGTATGCAGATAAGGAGGCAGCTTTACTTATGCAGGCAACATAGCTGCTCCGAAAAGCAACAGACATGAGAGCTAGAGGCAAGGAATGTATTGAAGAAAATTAACTGAGCTTTCTATCTATCAAATGTTGCAAGCCATTAGGAAAAGCAGAACTTTCTCTAAGCTAGAAGCCTGAGCCAGGTCAGATTTCGGAAGAATGATTTCATTTCCTTAACTTTAACAAAATTAAATCATAGTATTAATTGCATTTGGTTCATAGGAGACGAGTATGTTTCAGAGGCATGTTGTTCAGCTTCTCCAGCATGAGAATGGACCCTCAGAGAGTGGAAATGGGCAAGTCTACAAACACTTGAGCTTGGCTTTGGTTCAGTGTCTGGCTCTGCCTCACTCCATGAATTTAGGTCCATAAGCAAAGAAACACCAAGCCAATGTGAATAATCTGGCATCCCTTCTTGGCAGTAACAAGCATCCTTATATATCAATTCATGTTCTTTTCCTTTTGTACATATAGAGAGTTCTAACAGCCTGGCTTGTAGAGCCAAGGAGGAGTCTTGCCTTGGCTCATTCTCGCAACTTGCTGGCTTGCTTTGGCCTGTTGTAATGCTCTCACTGCCAGGCCTGTCCAATAAGTAGGGCTGGCACCTTTTTTTCCTCTTGGAAACAACTTCTCCAAAGCCTAATTTTATGGCATCAGGATAAAAATTACGTAAGGCGAGAATGGGAAAAAGTATCTCAAGAAACTTTAAGGAAAGTCTTTATTACCCTTGTCAAGAAGACATTTGCTTGGCTGTCCGTGACCACAAATGGTGAAACCATTGTGTGCATACAAAGGTGAATTATGGACCATCATAGCAGGATGCCAGTGCTGACAGGCAGCTAGCTTTTCAGGGAGAAATTAAAAACTGCCCTCTCATGCTGAATTCTGGCAGCTCATATCTGCTGTCATTAGGCCACATTCTTCAGCCTGTGCTCTATTTTTGAGTGATGTACTCAGCTATATCGTCACTGGACCACTTTGATGCTGGGAATTTGCCAAAGGAAGAGAAAAGACTGGGAACATAGTGAAAAGTGTTAGGATCCCATTTAGTGTAGGAGTCCAGAGCAAGACTGTGCCATCTTCCTCATCTTTTATAGCTGCAATGCCCAGGTATTTTCTCCATGTAGGATATACTGAAACATCTCTGTTTCAACAGATTTATTACTGGGAGAGTGACACCCAGAATGACACAGAGAAAGTGAAGGTCCTTTTCCTTCCGGAGACAACTGTCCGGCTCAAGAACCTGACCAGCCACACACGGTACATGGTCTGCATCTCCGCGTTCAATGCAGCCGGGGATGGCCCCAGAAGCAGCCCCTCACAGGGCAGGACACACCAGGCCGGTATGAGATCATTGTCTTGTCTCAAAGCACAGCCTTGGTGGTGACCAGCATGTAACTGGGCAATGGCTGAGGACATGGGTGGATGCAGGAGGGCACTGGTGTTCAGATTTAGCTTTCGGATGCGTCATTGCTCTGTAATGGTCGTGGAGGATTAAAAAGGATCAAATATGTGGATCGTGGGGGAAAGGGAGTGATGCAGGGGAAATAAATGGACTTCCATAAGGACCAGTCCCTTCACAAGCTGATCCAGAAAGCATCTATGGGTCTGTTTCTGGCCTCTGCTGTCACATCTGAAAATATGAAGGAACTTTATGTGTTTGCCCAGGCAGTCCTGTGAGAGAATTATCGTGCTTTTTGTCATTCCTCCTTTTTTAAAGCAGGATCAGCAGCCACCTAGTTGCACTGGGTTCTGTGTTGGATGTGGTGGTTCTGTGTTGGTTCCATGGTCGGAGTGTTCTAGGAGAGGATGAAGGTCATGCCCTTGTTGGTGGCAGTGGAGGTGTACACTTGGACTGTATGCTCACAAAGCACCCTTCTGAGGGTTGTTCCCTTCTGTGTCCTATCTTCTTGCTTGCTTTTGAGATTCAGCTTTGCATCTGGCTGCTGGGTGTTTTTAGGACACCTGGGTTTCTGACTGATTACCAGACATTGGAATACAATTGAAAAATCCCATTTTCAACTTGTTTCCTTTAGATTTAGGCTGGGCAAATAAACCAGTGTTTTATTATATATATCAGATTGACTATTTCTACTGCAGTTCATTCTGTCTGTAATCCTTTCAGCACCCAGTGCTCCCAGCTTCTTGACGTTCTCGGAGATCACTTGCACGACACTCAATGTGTCCTGGGGCGAGCCGACAGCAGCAAATGGAGTCCTGCAGGGTTATCGAGTAGTCTATGAGCCCTTGGCTCCCATCCAGGGTAAGACAGACCTCTGATCATACATATTCATGGGGAAATGACAGAAAAGTACTGTAGTAGCTTTTATCTCTGCCCAATTTCCTACTTACTCTCTGTCGTTTTCCAAGAGAAGCCAGGTGGCAGAGGGCAAGTAAAACAATTCCACTTCGGCCAAAACTGTTCAGCAAACTGTAATATTGTGGATTATAGGTATTTTTCTGTCCCCTCTCATTTTCTTGCACAAACTATATTCTGTGTGATTTGAAAAGTCAGTTTACAGCCATTGTTACCTGGTGCGGGCAAAGATGAAACTCAGCCTGAGAGTGCCCGATTGTCTCCCTCTGTTGCACTTTAAAATTGCTGACTAGGCTGCATCCCAGAATAATCAGTCAGACGCATTTGCCTTGCTTATCACATCATGTGTCACTTCTGTTATCACAAAGATTGCCAGGGCATCAAATGTGCTAGTCATCACTGGTACCTCTGCTGCTTTTAACGGTAGAATCATTGTGTGAGAGATTTAGTTGTGTCTATTTACATGGAATTTTCAAGCAGCACTTCTACCCCAGCACTAGATTTAAGCTAGACCACAACAATGTTGTGCCCACAAATGTTTCATTAATTTGCCAGAAAAACAACAGAGAAAGATTTGACAGTTTCTCTGAAAACAAAGGTAAATTCATTCCGAAGGAGAATTAGAAAAGATTGCAAAGTTTGTGGATGGTCTTATTAATATTTGTATATTCCTGGTAGATTGCCAATAGTTTAATAGGACGTCCGACTTTGGCAGTGTAACAGCAGGCAGAGTGATTTCAGCCATTGCCAAGCCATTTTAAACTTTTTTTCCAAAGAAATAAGGATATCAATCACTTGTATTTGCCTCTTCTGTAAGGAATAAAGATCTATATTTTCTGAATATCCATGTCTCATGCACTGAGAAAGTTATATTCAGGAATGAAAATGTAAGAATAAAAGTACTTTGAGCCTTTATGGCTGGCAGGTCTGAGCACAAAGAGCTAATGCAGAAAGCATTTCTAATTCTGACCAAGAAATGTATACAGAGTATACAGGAGATTCAGGATGTTTGGGCATTTCCTGCCTTTTATTCATTCCTACACAATGTTTAAGAATACATTTTCTCCCCTGAAAATATGGAAGTGTCAGATCATGTTTTCTCTGTATGTATTTGACTTAGCATCCTCAGAATCTTTGTTTTCTTTTCTTCTTTCCCCCACTTCTGCCTGTGCTATCTCTGTCTCTAGTTTGTCTTTCCTTCCCCTGTAGATTTCTGATATAAGCAAGGACATTATGGAGGGCTTTGCCTCATATTCTGAATTTTTGCCTAGATTTATTTCCCAGTTTCTATCCATTTGCTTTTGTGCCAACATTTTTCTTTCAACAAACATATTTATTCGCTGGCTATGGTAAGAAATCCCTCCCTTGGTGCCATCATTTTCCTCCTATAGTAAAGCCATGCTTCTTTATTTAGAGAGCAAGGTAGAGCCAAACTCATTTGAAGATAGAGCATGTAGTGAGGCTGACTAGGCAGATCATGCAGACCCCATGATCTCAGAGGGTCCTTGCAGCCCTAAGTCTTACATTCCTTTGTGCCAAGGCTACAGTGCAGCAACATGGATGGACCAGACCCTCCTGGAGCTTTTTTTCTGCATCTTTTGACTTCACACCCATTCATTATAATCAGCTGAGTGTCCTCACTGTGACATCTCCTGTCCTCCCATTCAGAAGCCACTGCTTAAAAGCTGCTCATTTTGCACAACTTTCTAAGAGGGATCTGTTTTTTAGCACAGCCTTCTCCCTGGTTGACCTTTTATTGTTTAAGCTTTACAGCTTTATGTTTTACACAATAACAGACAACAAAATTGCCCTGGAGCCTTTTTTAACAGTTCCTTTTTTGGGGAGAACATAACTTCAAAATGACAAATGCTTCCTGATTTGTCTTAGAGAAATGAAATAGTACACCTAGGGAAGGAGGGAGCACTTTTACTGCTTCCTTGTTATCCAAGGAAAGATTCCCTGAGTTATAAGTGGTATCTGGGAGAAAATTTTGAGCAGAAATTGCTTGGACATTATTCTTTATTTAACCAATAAAACTGAACTCATTGTTTCAATTTGCATAAAACAAGCATCTGGATTGAGAAATACCTTCCTTGTGCATTTTTCTGGAAACATAAACTAGCAAGCAGACTTCTCCAGTGCGAAAAACATTCTCCCTTTCCCATCTTCTTGGTTTGCAATGTGTTCTATACATCTGCAGAACTAGAAGTGCCAAAAGGACTCTGTGAAATCAAACTTTCTGTTTTGTTCATTTGATTTTATAAATCAAATTCTTTCCAGTAACTGACTTTTAGAAAATCTCAGTGTTTTCAAAGCACTCATTTCCACTCTGCCCTTTATGCAGCATTCAGAACCTAAATGTGAAACTAGCTATGAACTTTGATAAAGGAAACAGCACTGATTTTAGTTCATCCATGTAAGAAAACTTCTTGGAGAGTGAGAAGAGGGAAACACCCTGAGTCATGCCTTCAGGCTTGTCCGAGCTAATAGTGCTTTGACTGCATCCTCTATTACAGTGGCATTCACACCCACAAATTATCTGTGAGATACACATCCTTCATTTTGCATTCAGTTGGCAATGTTGGAAATGACAGGAGGAGATGGATGGGAAAAAACCTGGCCCTTGTTTCCTCCTTCAGGCAATGTTGCAGGTTACTTGGCAAAGAAGCAGTGGAGAACTGCTTGCTTAGGAAGCTATCTACAACACGCAGTCCTCTTCGTTTACCTCCTCCTTTCTTCCCAGAGTAATTAGTGAAGTTGCATATAGTCTCTTGGTAATTTCCCAGTTGTGTTGTAAGGTTTTTTTCTTGTCAGTACCCACTTATCAAGCTTAAACTCTAATTATACTTATCAGTGCTGAAAATTGGCTATTATCACTACTTAAACTTCTGCTAATTGTAAGAAATACTTTCTTAGCAAACTGTTAGATAATTTTACTTACCATCTAGATGTAATAAGCTCCACTTGATTTCTTTTTTTTTTTGCATTGCAACCTTCTCTTATGTTTTTTATCTGCATGGCTGTTCCAGGGGTAAGTAAGGTAGTGACTGTGGACATAAAAGGGAACTGGCAACGCTGGTTGAAGGTCCGAGATCTCACCAAAGGTATGACCTATTTATTCAAAGTGCAAGCCCGAACCATCGCCTATGGACCTGAGCTGCAAGCCAACATTACAGCTGGGCCAGCAGAAGGTAAGTGGAACAATAAAAGCATCAGTTATACAAAGATGGTCCAACAGTGGGGAATAGTGCAATCAGGGCTTCACATAAATTTCCAAGCCAAGGAGAAGTTGAGTCACAGGAGCTCAGGACATGATTCAGTGGGTTTTGCAACTGCCCATAAAAAACATGCTTCCCTTTTTCCTGAAATCAAGAAGTCTTCTGTGAATAAACAAAACAGTGTGAATAAATCATAATGCAAATGGGCTAGCCAGGGATTTCCAAGCTGCAGCCTGACAGCACAGCACATAATTCTGACTGTCCTGCTCTGTGGTGGAGTCAAACTGGAATAACTGAAACCAGCAGAGGTTCCTGGATACAAAGCCAGAAAGAATTTACAATTATTCTTTCCTGACTCTGGCTTATGCAGATGGAGAAGTCTGCAAATTTCCTGATATGTTCAGAGAACAGCAACATTCCCCTCTTGGTTCAATGTCTGTATAAAAGAGTTGGTTTTCTTATTTGGTCAGTGATTTTGATAAGCAGATAATCTAACAAGGTAGATGCCCTCCAGTGATACCAGCCTGTCCAGTAAATCACAGAGCATCAGTGCAGTGGTCACATTTCTGATTTTCCAGCTCAGGGAAGTATTTGCTTCCTCCATGAGAGCCACGTGTGGCAGTTCCACCTTTCTGGGTGCAAGCAAGATTCCGTTTTATCACAGTACCCTCTGTAGCTGTGATTTGGGACAGCAGCACTGTGGATCCACAGTTTAACTCTCATGCCCCACCACAGATAGGATAAAGTGGGAATCCTCTTTAATGTGGCCATGGCATCTTCCCAAGTGAATGGGCAGGCAGCTGTCCTCACAAACCTCTCCCTGAAACTTGGAAGCTGGGTTCACCTCTAAAGGCAGAAATAGCAGTGGCAATGTGCAACCCCTGCTGATATGCTAATGGTTAAATGAGAGTGTTTTCTTCTATTCTTAACACAGGTACCTGTAAAACCCAGCCATTGATCTACAACTGCTGGTACTAGAACTAGTGGAAAAAATCAGGTCAATACCCACTGAGCTGGTTCAAGGTGCCTATATGTTGACCAGTACTGCTAGGCAGTTTTTTTCCCCTGTATCAATGGAAGAAATTAATACTGCAATCTGTCTCTGATACCACCACCATTTGCTATTCTTTTTTTCATCCTTCAGGGTCTCCTGGCTCCCCTCAGGAAATTCTGGTGACAAAATCTGCTTCTGGGCTGACACTACAATGGACTGAGGGAGATTCAGGAGAAAAACCTACAACTGGCTACATTATAGAGGCACGACCCTCAGGTAAGACATGGGAAACACAGAGAGCTTGGTGCCATGAGTTCCCTTCCTTCAGTCAACGCTGAAAGCATCCTGCAGTGGAGAGATTGTTTGTCATCCCAGTAAGGCAGTGGGATTTTGTGAGAGAATTTTTTGAGCCAATATTAAACTATTGCTGGTTTATTATGTAGTTTATCAGATTTTTCATCTGCTTAGGAGTAGTCACAGAAAATTACCCTGAATAGTCTGGCTTTCGCTGTGCTACATCACTGGTAAATTATCCAGCTGATGAGCTAATATAGTTAATAATTAAAACCCACTTAAATGCTTACAGCATCTTTCATGTACAAGGACTAATAAGTACTTGCAAGCTGTATTTTGAGGACCAAAGCTAAAAGTCTGTCCTCTTCTGCAGCAGAACACAACAGTTAATAGCTGTTTTACTGTTAAGACTAGGGCCAGGACTTCAGCAGCGCATACACACTGGTTTCCCCATTTGTTCTGCAGGGAGGTCATTAGCAGGGGGAAAGGAATCCCCTCGTCACCACAGTTTTTCTTAGCACTTTCCCAGAGCAACTTTGCTTCTGGGATATGATTTTACTGAAGCTGCTCTCTTGCTTTTTCCAGAATATTTCTCCAGTTGGACAAAGTCCTTTTAAAAGCAAGGTTTTACTCCAGCCTCTTCCAGCTTTGTACCTGTTGCAAATTGAATTAAGTGCACACTTTCTGCTAACCAAGTCATTAAGGAAAGCTGGTGAATGGCTGCCAGACCCCAGTGTAATCTCACTTGCTAATTTCCATTCCACTCTGACAGTGGATGTTGGTAACCATTCACCAAGTGCAGTTTTCCAGCTGATGATGCATCTACCAGATACTTGTTTCACATAGGCTGTATTTGAATGTCATGGTGTCAAAAGCTTTGCTGAAGTCAGGATAGATGATGTCTGCTCTTTCTCCTCTATTGACGAGGTCTGCTACCCTGTCACAGAGGGAAATTAGACATGATTTATACTTGACATATCCTTGTTGGCTGCTTGTTCTTTCCTCTTTTACTTCTAGGTGCTTGCACGTTGCTTGATTATGTATTGGTTAAGTGAGTACTTACCTATTTGACTATATAAAAGATCCTGTTTCTTGTCTGTGTCTCGAATGTAAAGTTGCATTTAAAACCAATGGTTTTAATTATACTCAAACAGACCAGTAACAAAATTATGGCCTGCGTTTCTGTGGTCATCACTGAAAATGCAGCTTTCCATACCTGCATCTGATAGAATTTGCTCTGTAGTGAGGTTCTGCCATGACCCTAAAATTTCTTCCTTATTTCTGTCATTTAACTTGAGGAGTGTTTTCAAAACAAAGTCAAGGAAAATGGGTACCTTCTCAAAGCACTGGAGTTTCCCAGAGCACTCAAGATTACTTTTCTATTTAATTAGAGGCATGATACTGCTGTGCTTCTATTTCTTTTACATCAGTTTATTGATTTCTGCCCTTACTTCTTCATAGGTAGAATATACTCTGTCTTATTTGAACAGCATTGTTTAGATAGCAAGTTAAACCAAAGCTGTACACTGAAGCTCACTCACTAGCTTGATTTCCCCAAGCAGGACTTTCTGAGTACAAGTATTTTAGAGGGAAACCTGCAGCCCGTGTACACATTGTCTGCAAGGTGGAAATACAGCTCATATGGCTGGTGACATTGCAGTGGTGACATTGATGTTCCTGGGCTTGTCTTGCCATTCGATGTGAACAGACATTTCACAGTTCAGGGCTAAGGATGTAGGATTTGTGGCCCACTCTTTCTGAGTAGGAAGAAAATAGTCCCTCCAAGGCAGGTCTGAGCTGTATTAACCCTGGGTTACTTCCGCTGGCCCCAGTCCACTGATCCTGGGAGCACACAGAGGAGGTCTTATTCTCCTGCTCTTGCAACCTGACTGTTGAGGCATTTAATTCCTCTCCAGATTATTTTAATCCTATTCATGCTGCTGTAGGAAATGAACTAGGCATTTGTATGCTGGATTCTTATCCTTCGTTCTGGTTGCAGCTGTAGGAAGCGTGAAATGTGATCCAGGAGAGGAGACAGCCTAATTGGAACATTTACTTACTTCACCCAAGCATCAGCTTCCTTTCTGTGCTGCTTTTTCTTCCTCATCTCTGAAGTTTGAAATATGAATTATGAGCTTAACAAAAGCAAGGAACTAATCTCTCCTGTCAGGGCTGGTCATTGAGATCAGCTTCTTTTTTAATAACATTCTAAGAATTTGCTTCTGCACGTCGATTTGTATGGGTAGCAGAGCATGGATTGGAGCAACTTTTGTTTTCAAGGACTTGTTGTCCAAGAGAAGAGCAGTGGACTTGTGCCCTTCACATAAAATCAAGGAAGGAAAAGATATTAGTCTTTTTAAGATCAAAAAAAGGGCATTGGACAGATGAAAAGCTTTAGCTTGTTGCCAGTATTTAAATGCAATACCACTACCTTAGCGTTTCACATCTCAAGTGTCATCTATTATAGGCCTCATTACCCCAAACGCTAAATGCTGTATCATCTCATTTTCCCTGCTCTAGCTCCCTGCCAAGACTCTTCCATCAGAGTAGGAGGGTGGCTTTCTGTCAGAAATAGCAAACCCTACTCCCTTTTGTCCCTTCCCTTTGAATTTTTCGGAGCCCTGCGGTGTCTCCCTGGGCTCCAGCTGCCCTGCTGGGTTTAGCAATGGAGGCAGCAGGCAGCTGAGATTGCTCATTTGATCTCCCCATTTCTCTCCCAGATTTATGGAAGGTGACCACGCTGACTACCTCCTCTGCATTTTGAGTATACTCAGACATGGGAATGGAGCAGGCAAACCAGGTTTTTTTCGAGCATGATCCAGGCTAGAGGACATTACGGAAACAGAAGAGTTTTTCTTTTCCTTCAACTTCTCTGTCCCTAGAGAAATGGATTCCATTTTAGCTCCTTTGTGCATTACAAGAAATGCAATTAAGCAGCCTCTGTCACTGCCATTGTAAGCGCTCCCTAGACATCAACTAGGCTGGCTGAGGAATGGGTGTTGCATTGTGCCCTCAGTTTTTACCTACAGAGGAAAAGACAGAAATGGCACATTGACGTTAAGGTTCCCAGTAAGGAAAGAGTTGAGAAGCTGGTTTCACCCCTCTTTTCCCAACCCCATGCCCCATCCAAAGCTTCTCTCTCTGTACTGTGCTTTAATGGTGGACATGTGGCCTGTCAGGTACCAAGCATCTCATGTGGACTTGTCTTCCCAGTTATCCCCTATCTACAAAGGAGGTATTTTCCGTATGATGGCATGGCTTCACGAGCGAAGATTTGGGAAGGGCTTTAACCACGCTCACTACAAGCACGATGACCAAGGGCATGTGGGATATGCAAATCTGGTTGGAAAAAAGGGTGCTTAGGCAATCAGGAAGTGTCCGACCAGGACTGTCATCTCCTGAGCGATCTCGAGCTACCCATGCACTGGTCCACCTGCATGCAAGGTTGGATCTGCAGCTTCCCATGCACCTTGTCACCTACCGTTTCGACCCTCACCTGCCCATACAGACAGGTGAGAGTAAGCCCTTCCAGCCTGTGCAGTGGATTTTTTAGGTGAGGCGCAGCTTGCGCAGAACTGGCCCACCCTTTACACCTGAGGTTTAACTGTCACGGCTTACTTAGCTAGGACGGTGACAGCAGAGTCCACAGGTCGTAGGTTTTGTAAGAGTCTCTTCAGTGGAAGACCATATAAGGCTAGACGAGCTCCAGCAGCCCAGGTTTGAAAATAGGAGTTTTCCTTCTCCTATGAGGAAGGCCTGTCTTCGCTAAGTTAGCACAGGGATAACTGGCTTGTGGTGGCCAAGCATTCATAGCCACGTCACTTTTTGATCCTTCAATGTCGGCTTTTCCTATTGTTGTGAAGCAGTATTCACCAAGTGTTGGATTGTTCACCCGCTAATAGGGAACATGAGCTGGGATTAGACCATCATGAGACAGGTTAGTTTTACCCTACTGATGATGTGTTGTTGCAATAGTAATCCTGCTCAGTACAAGAGGAACGGCAGGTTCAGACCCCTGGTGCGTGCGCTTGGCTGTGAAGCCACTGGTGCGAGGCTACCATCTGCGGGCCTATGACTGGACGCCTCTAAGTCAGATTTCCCTCTAGAGGCTTGATGTTGTGCTGTTGCGTCAACGACCGCTTGAGGTTTTCTGTGTAACACCCTAGGTATCCACACTGCCAGGAGTGCATTTGGATACTTAACTGCCAGCAGGAAACCTTTGTGTGTGTATTGGTCTGCTGCAGTCATCCTCAGCTGCAAGGCAGCCAGGGAGGTGTTCAGTCAATCTGCTTCATGGCTTGTGTTGCCTTGGGAAAAGCCTCTGACCCAGGACAAGCTGAGATTTCTGCTTCTGCTTCCTCTCCCATCATGCATTTTGGACTTCTCTTTGCTTTTCCCAAGCAGGGGATAACTTAAGCCCAGTGGAAAAGAATTGCATCTTAACATGCTTGCAATAGCAGTATTTCTAGCACCCTGGCTGGCTGGCATGAACAGGCCAGTAAACCTCAGATCAGCCACAGATCATGAGCTTAGGACATAGGCAGGTCAGGACAGTGTTTTCTTCTGCTCTCCAAGATAAGTTCCATGAAGGCAGCAGGCATTTTCGGGAAGAAGAACACATCTACTCAGAGAGGGGATTGTCCTTCCCATACATGCTGGTTTTCACTTCTCATGCCCTGAGGGCAGATCTCACTTTAGTTTTCTTTCTGGTATCTTGAGTAATATTTTCCTGTTTTCTTCCTTTTCTGTTTATTTTTAAACAAATGAGGGAGTGCAGTGTCAAACATGGACGCAAACCAGCAGAAGTCAGTAAATTCAAAGTGAAGGGTGCAGCTGCATTGCCGGCATCTGCCATGGGGCCTTTTTCACTTCCACTCCCAAACGACATGCCAAGGCTGACAGTTTGTCAGCATTCACTTCCCATTCTCGTCCTTTCACTAGTTTACGTGATAATCCAACCCTTTGCCTCTGACAAATCCATCCACATTTTAATTGGAAGCAGGAGGAGCACTACTCACGTTTAGGCAGTCCTTAATTCTCAGCAGCTTCTCCCCTCATAAACCTCCTAATGTGTAATTAGGAGAAAGTTTTGCAGCTCAGCTCTCCTTTTACTCCAAGAGGGGAAGGCTGGTGTTTAAGACCCAAATAACTGACAGCTTTCCATCTCCCCAGCTGCCACACAGCAGTTGTTTGTTAGTGGCCTGAGTTAGCAGAGCTGGGAGCCTTCATTACTGACTGACAGTTTTATTCGGCGTGGAGACCCCGATTAATTGCCTGTGAAACCAGGTTGGCCAGTGGGTGCTGTGCATGGCTGCAGCTGGAATAGGCTGCTCAGAGAAGCTGTGGCTGCCCCATCCCTGGCAGTGTTCAAAGCCAGGTTGGACGGGGCTTTGAGCAGCTTGATCTAGTGGAAGGTGTCCCTGCCCATGGCAGGGAGTTGGAACTGGATGAGCTTTACGGTCTCTTTCAACCCAAACCGTTCTGTGATGATTCCTCTCTGACACAGGACAGCCAGCACCTGGCTGGTGTGTGGCTGAGACAGGCTGGACATTGTGTTAGGTCAGAGGGATTTCACCTTCCCCTCTCATTCAGATCATCTCCCCATGCACATGCCTCCCAGTTTGGATAATGGAGTTGAGGCTGGGAGATAAAGATCAAATCTCCCATCAGCAAGACATAAGGCTGAGACAGGGTCTGGTGAAGTGTTGATAAACCATTTTTTTTTTAGGAACCAACCCTTTTCCTTCACACATTTAGGCCTTTTTCAAGAGACCAAGTGCCCAGTGAAAGTCAATGTGAAATGAAGAAAGGGACAGTTGTTATTGAAGGAAAAGTATTTGAGTGATGCTAGTGATTCCAACTGACAGCTCTGCTGCCTCCTTCCCAGTAGGGACTGAGGTTGGTGAGCCTTGCCCCTCTTCACAAGAGCGTGGTGTGGCAAACTGCTTTTCTTGGCAGTTTCTATGAGTTAATATTCAGCTGATGTCCCAGCTACAGAATGTGTGTCCTTCCTCCCTAAACTGAGTGGAAAATACTGTGTATAGTTTACTAATGATTTTTCTACTGAATTTAAAGGCCAGTCTTTGCTATCATAAGTGACCTTCTAATGAATTCTCTTTCAGCTGAACTTCCAACATTTAGAGCAAACCTGGTTTTGAGGGATAGAAGAGATGCAGTGAATGAATTCACAAGTTGTGTTTTTGATATTTAATCTCAAAGTTCACCACTGAAAATGCTTTTTTAGTTTGTATATATCCAATTATGATCTGCCTACGAAGAGGGACATGAATATTCCAGATGGAGATAAGATAAATTAATTGAGGCTCTGGAATTAAAAATCTTGTTGGCCAGGTCTTGGGAGGCCCCAGACTCTCCTGTGAATAGCACTGGCTTGAGGTCAGCAGTGGAGGAAATAAAAGGATATCCCTCTTCCCAGGCTGTCACCCTGCAGACTGCTGACCACTATAGCTGCATCAGCACCTCTCTGGCATCCCACGGTCACACACTGGGTCCCATCTTGACCAAGCCCTGTTTCCTACCCAGAAAAATAAGCTTGAGCAAAGGTTTTTTCAATGGGTGAAACAGGGATGGGCCAGAGAAGATATAGCCACCAACTGGAGCATCTTCAGGTCCCTGCAAGACAGGAATCCCCTCTGAAGAAGCATCCACCAGCAGCCTTTGCTGCCCCACACCATCACTACTGTAGCCAACAGGACAGAGAGGTAGAAATGCAACGTTAACTTCTCAAGGGCAGTTTTCCCAACTTCAAGCTTTCCAGAGTGGTTAAATGTCACTTCTTGGTCCATAGGATATTCTGCACTGCGCACCCTGATAGGTTTGAGAAAATGAGTGAGAAAGTGCGTGTGTGAACAGTTGTGTTTGTTGCAATGAGTGTTGAACATTCATTTTTATTGTTGCCTTTTCTTCCCCCATCTAAGTGGCTTTCAATGCAAACAAATTGCTTTTCAGACAATTCACAATGGGCTCAAATTCTCTTATTGCTGTTTACAAATGTGTTTATGAAAGCTCAGGCAATTCTCGCAATTATGGCAATATTTTATAGTCTGAGATGCATCTTCCTAGTGTTGGTGGTTACAACAATCTAACTTTGAAAAAACATCCCTCACTCCATCCACTTCAGATAAACTAAATCCCAAACTCCCTTTTTATTACATTGTAAGATTACGTGGCAGAAATAATCTAGCCTTCTATTGCCCTGTAAAAAGGAAGTCAATATTTTATCTCTTGTTTTATAGCCATTGTAATATCCAACTAATACATAACAATGGTACATTATGATAACTTCATTATACTCTGATCATGCTGGTGAATAATATATTGGTCTGAATTTTAAACATGACAGAAAAATTACCTGTTTTTATTGTTCTTTGGTATTTCTCAAATGCAGCTGGAACAATAACATTTCAGCCTGCTTTTTGCATCTACTGAGACTGTCAATCCTCACGACCAGAAAAGGTGTAGACTGGGGGCTGTTAGTCACTGTGTGTGTTGCTGGAAGTGCAGCACGGTACAAATTACTGAGGCAATATTTACAGATGCCAAAGTTAAAACATTCACATGGAAATGCACCTGCAGTGTTAATCAGTCCATCTTTGCTGCTATTCCCTGTTGCACAGGCTAAGGGCCAAATTTTGCCCTGTTACAGCAGCACAATTCTGGAATCGCTGTGGTGACTCCAATTAGTTTATACTCAGGTAAATGCAAAGCAAAGGAGAACAGATTCCTGCCTTACGTTGCAGCAGTGGAACAAGTCATTGAGGGTATGCTGCTGGCTCCTGCTTTATTGTTACCTCGATAACACCTGAAGCTACGGAAGTCATGCTGATGCTCAAATCTCACAGTGCAGAGGACTTTCTTTCAAAGCAGGCAGTTGGAGTCTTATCTATGCAGAGGTTATCATCATATTCCCATTGCTGTGGGACATGCAGAGAAAAATAGACATTGCCCGAACAGCTTTGATAACTGAAAGTAAAAGCCCAATGGGATACTTGCAAGGTCAGATCTATCAGAGCTACAGTGGCTTAAGCTAGCTGAGAGTTTGGCCCTATGCATAGACAGTAAGTCCATTTTGTTAGAGAAAGTGCTGGGCACCAGTTGTTACTAAGGAGTAGTCCAGTTAGATTAATGCTTGATGCCTGCACTCAAAATTATTTACTGTCATTTTTAATTCTAGTTGATTTGGAGATTTTTTTCTCATTGTTAAGAGCATCCATCCTGTTGAAAGTTCTTTCCAATGTAGTCAAGTGAATATAAGATTACAGGCATGGATCAGGGGCTAGACTGGCGCCTTGTGAGGATGTGCATCAGAGTTAACGTCAGTATGGCTGTTGAGAACCAAGACTATCCCATTGAAACACTCTCATCAGGGTAGTCTTGTGTCTGTAAGAACTTTCAAAGGTTTATAATACAAACTAGGTCTCTAGTTTGGAGGAGACTGAGGGATGACCTTATTAGTGTATATAAATATATAAAGGGGGAGTGTCACGAGGATGGAGCCAGCCTCTTCTCAGTGGCAAACAATGATAGGACAAGGGGCAATGGGTACAAACTGGAACACAAGAGGTTCCACTTAAACTTGAGAAGAAACTTCTTCTCAGTGAGGGTGACAGAACACTGGAACAGGCTGCCCAGGGAGGTTGTGGAGTCTCCTTCTCTGGAGACATTCAAACCCGCCTGGACACGTTCCTGTATAACCTTATCTAGGTGTTCCTGCTCCGGCAGGGGGATTGGACTAGATGATCTTTTGAGGTCCCTTCCAATCTCTCGCATATTGTGATACTGTAAAAAGCTCATTCCTGTTTAAAAATGAATGGCACAGAAGTGCAGCACTGAAGTCTCACCTTGTGGGCTGTGCTATGCTGTGGGCCAGCACATGCAAAGGACAGACCACTACTGATATTGTGGAGCAAGCAGCACTCCAGTGATACCAGTCCAGCAGGCACCAGTTCATGCAAGGCCACAGTACTTCTACCAAGACCCAAATCGTACATTACTTTGCAAAGCCTACGCACTTTGAAAGTGAAGTCAATTTTGCAATGCAAAAAGCAGGCAAAACCTGTGTGATCAAGACTTATTGATGGAGCAGATTGCTTTAAGTTTACTTGCTCTGTCAAATACCAGGTGTGCTAATGCGGTGATCTTAGCTGATGAGGAGGGACCCAGATGGCTGGCAGCTGCTCTAGCCAGCTCGGGTCGCTGGGAGTGCTGCTGCACATTTTAGAGACCTCTTCCATCTGGGCTATTATTATTAGACCCCATCATGAATAAATACGTTTACAGATGGGGTCCTGCAGGGCATTCTGACATTTGTGTGTATCACTGAGCAGCCTTCAGGTAAGCATATCCACTGCCTATGCTTGAAACACACCATTAATGGCAATTCTTTTCAGTAAGCAAGAGGAAGTGCCAAGTCACACAGTTCATGCCGTTTCTTTCCTTGCTGCTTTCCTAGATGAAGGACTGTGGGATATGTTTGTGAAGGACATCCCTCGCAGTGCTACCTCCTACACAGTTGGCCTGGACAAACTCAAACAGGGTGTGACCTATGAATTTCGGGTGGTGGCTGTCAATGAATTTGGCTATGGAGAACCCAGTGTTCCCTCTGTGGCAGTATCAGGTAATCATGGATTTTATTTTTTTTATATATCTTTTCCAATTGAATTTCTTGGATTGGGGAGAAAAGAAGGGGAAAGCCCCAACCCATATTTTCTAGTTGCAATGAATAGCCAAGGGCAACTTGTTTTCACTTGGTTTAGGATAAAACCAGAGTAATATAGTGGTGAATCGAGGCTTGTTCTTACAGTGTGCTTTACTTTCAAGAAGAAAAATGCATGTGTGCCATTTTTCAGTTTGACAAAGAACCTTCTCAGGAATTCCATGAGTGTTTATATATGAGATCTCTTGCCCTAAGACTAATTTACACAGTCTACAATCTGTTTGGGTTTTCACATTTCCTAATCTGTTGGTTTGTTTGCTCTGCTTCCTTCTTTATTTTTTTCCCCAAGGTTCTCTGATAAATATTTTCTGTGTTATTTTATATTTGGCTCTCGAAACTATTAAGTTTAGTTTCACAAAATCATTCCTGATATCCTCTGCCTGGCAGTTCAAATACAGCATGATGCCTCCACTCCTCCTTCATCAGAACAGCTTGTTGGTGATGCTCTCAGGCTTCTCCCAGCCTCCCTGCTCTATTGTGCTTATTCCCAGTAAACAGGGTTATGGTTTAAACATGCTTCAAAATCCCTTTCAGCAGCCCAGTGCTCTGGTTTTCTGAAGGGGACTTCAGTACCTTAGAAAGCAAATTTCTCTCAGCTTGCCATGTCTAGACAGCCAGAGTTCAGTGGCCTGTCATGAAGTAGGAGAGCGTGGTGCTTTACTCAGGTCTCTTCTTACCCTTGCAGAGACAGCTGTACTTCAGGTTGCTTTTGAGCAACAGGTTTCACCCTTGCTGTGTCAGGGAAGACAGGCAAGAGGAATAAAAGAACCTGATAAAGCAGCTTTGTGATTCAAAATACTGGAGAGTCCTGAGAACCTGGCAATGCTCCAGTATCTGGAGTGGCTTTTATCTCTGCTCCTCCAGTGAGAAGCATAAACAGCATTCAACAGTTACCCAGCAGGCAAGAGTAGTAAAAGCTGCTATCGCCATCACGGCTCTGTTTGTCCTTACACAATTAACCACTTAGCCCATGAGAGCTGTCTATGGATTTCAGAGTGAGTGCTACCCTTGCTTTTCTCCTTCAGGACAAGGGCATAGACAACCCACTTCAAACACCTAGAGTCAATATTTTTCCTATCTCTGGTTTCACAGAGGCTATAACACAATGTAAAGGATTGGTAATCGTGTCAGTCTTCCCTTTCCTGAAAGACATTATTCCTCTGAAGCTGGGCATGCATCTCCTTCTGACGTTTTTTTATACATAAACTACTTGTTTGTAAGTTCTCCACTTGAACAGAACTATTTAATTCACCTCCTTTTGATGCTTCAGTGTTCATCTCAAATTGCTGCATGAAAGTAAGAGGTTTCCATTGAGATTCACAGTCATAAAAGTATAAAGCTTTTTTGGCTGGCCACTTCAGCTAGCACAGGGACATATAAATTGCACCGAATCTGCTCAGCCCAGCATGGCTTGTGCAGTTTGCCTTTAGGACTTTATTGGCCTGGGCTGGCCTCCTAGCAAAGAAGGATTGTGGCTGCTTTTTACTGCTGCAGAATATGCAGTGATCTGGAACAAATTTGAGCTTGTATCATGAGGCTTACCACAGACTTATGCTTTGATCCAGAGCTCAGGACAGTTGGGGAAAGAGAGTGCCTGGGTTCAGTGATAGTGAGGGGCTGAAGTTGGTCTCCTGGCATTGTCCATTCCTACCAGGTGGTGTTCTACATTATGGACTACAGGGAAATAACATACAACTGCTGGGTTGTGCTCCAGCAGCATTTTTCCACTAAACTGAGGGATGCTTACAAAGAGAATATCACTGCAAGAAAATAACAATACTTATTACTTTAAACCAAGACTGGCAAGGTAACTCTAGAAAGGCGAAGCTGGTATCACTTTGCGTCTCCAATTGAGGTCAAACGAGGTAAAATGACTTGAGATTGCACAAAATCCAGGCAACTGAAGTGATACCCATGTACTGCACATCAGGCTTGGCTAAGCTGATGGGGAAAAGATATAGAGGAGCAGTGAATGTTTTAAGTTAAAGTTAATGGAAGCAGTGAAAGACACTGAACCAAGCATACTTTGTTCCCTGGCGCTAGCTGTATTTTTCAGAGCCACTGAGCAGCATTTTGGCAAGTTAAACCTCATAAAAAGTGGAATAATTCTGGGTCATGATAGATATATTGGTGGTTCCTTTGACCCAGGGAGTACTAAGCATACCACAGTAGTCAGGAAATGTAGGTGTGCAGGCCAGTAGGAAGAAACCTTCATTTCTTCACTCGGCGATAACTTCTTAGCTAAGGCTCTGGGTGTGTGAAAGATGCTTGCAGAGATGTTGGAGCTGTGATAAATTTCTGTTCTCTCTGCCATCAGTGTCAGCAAGCCCCTTGAAAGTCTGGCTGCAGAGCAGGCTGCGTTACCTCCTTTGAGCACCTCTCTCTCCTGAACACTCTTCCAGATGCATTGTTCGCTGTGGGGAAGAAGAGAAAATTTTGAAGGAGCATAAGGAAGGAATTGTTATTTGTTTTTTGCTCTTTCAGCGCAAACAGAATCGCCTTTCTATGAGGAGTGGTGGTTCCTGCTGGTGATGGCACTTTCAAGTCTGATCCTCATCCTCCTGGTGGTGTTTGCATTGGTCCTGCATGGCCAGAGCAAGAAGTACAAGAACTGCGGTGCAGGTAAGACATTGGCTCCATTCTGTGAACATGCTGTCAACAGCTGTGGGAATTAGAAATATCTTCCTTTTAAAACCCTGATTCAGTGTGAACTCTATTTATAGGTATTTTGTTTGGCAGAAAACCTAGATTTTTTTTTCTATCTGGTTTGGAAGAAACAGCTTTTGCCCATAGCCATACTGGGCAAAGAGTGCCTGATCTTATCAGGTTCTGGATGATAACCAGCCATGAGCTTGGACAGGACAGCATCTGGAAGTCCCAGGGACTGTATCAAAAGCCAAGGAGTCTGAGTGAAATGCTTGGCAGAAGACCACAAAAAGGAATAAGCTGAGACTTTATTTAGCATTGTCATCACTTCCTGCTAGATGGGGAGAAGACAAAAGGTTCTGCTTTTCCATGGCTGTACCCAGTGCAGATATTCTAGGTCTGTATGTGTGAGGACTGTATCTCAGCTCATTTGTATTAGTGTCTCACATCTCGCATTCATACTCAAGCCAAGTTGCAGTTACAGGGCCAAGCAGCTAGGAGGTGTTTTGGATATCTGAGCCTGTTAGACTTTAATGCATGAATGTCAAGCTTTGAATTTTCCTTTAGTTCTAGGTCTGTATGTGTGAGGACTGTATCTCAGCTCATTTGTATTAGTGTCCTGTATCTCGCATTCATACTCAAGCCAAGCTGCAGTTACAGGGCCAAGCAGCTAGGAGGTGTTTTGGATATCTGAACCTGTTAGACTTTAATGCATGAATGTCAAGCTTTGAATTTTCCTTTAGTTACATTTTCTACCAGGTTCCTTTCTGAAAGGAAACAGGAGCTACCTGCTCTATGACTAGGAATGTCAAAATAGTCCTCTTTCAAAATGCCTTATTCTTGAGCTCTGAGCATTGTTTTTACCTTTTCTTCTCCTTACATGATAAAGTCCTAGAAGAGCTGTTCGAATGTGTATTTCTCTGATAGCCTCCTCCACCTCCAGCAAGAAATTGTGCTAATGCCAGGAGGTGCCAGAGAAGGCATGTTAATGAGTAGAATCAGGTGAATGGGTCTTTGCACTACTTGTTCTTAGGGATTAATGTAATGAAGGAATCTTCCAGGCAGTATTTAGTAATTCAGTCCCAAAGTGAAGATCTTTTCTTTCTTTATAATTCACTTCTAACAAGTGTTAGAAAATCAGATTTCAGTCCCATGAGATGTAAGATGTATGAATACCATGGCATTTTACCAACTTAATACTATTACGTATTTGTATGCATAGCTCATAGGAAATCTCTCATCTTCTTAGTTTTGCTCTGTATTTGAGGAACAGACATGAAAAGACAGGTCTGACCTGTACTGTCAGATACCAGTGTTCACACTGAGTCTTAATGTAGCACTGAAATTGAAGCCAAGGATAAAGTACCTGTCTGCTGCAAAGCAGCAATATGCAACCTGTCCTTCTCCCCAGGGCATGAGCTGAGCTCACACCTTTGGGATTACAAAGAATGAACATGGGAGAGAATAAGCTTGTGCTATATTTGATCACCAAAAATAATATACTTTGCTGTATTTTTCCTTTTCTTCCAGTCCCTTGTCCTTTTCCTTGCTTTACATTGTCCAGTGATTTCTCACATCTACATTTTATCCTCATTACAGCTCTGACTTCTTTCTCCCATTTGCTATCCAGTTACCCTTTCTCTTGCTTTCTTTCCTGCCTTTTTTTTTCTCTCCTTTTCCTCTTTTTCTGTCTTTCCTAGTTTTATTTTCTCTCGCTTTGCTTCAGTCAGCATGAATGGGATTCACAGCATCTGATTCAGGACATCTTCAGTGACTACCTGAATTAGTCACCTCATTTCTATTTATAGTCAAAAGACAAGAATAAGAACTTTTGGAGCACAGTTAATCTATACTATTTTAGATATTTTGGAATGAAATGCAGCCATCAACAACTCCTCTTTTCCCCTCTTTTGCCTCCTTCTGCTCATTCACACTCATAATAAACTCTTCTCCTTCACTCTGATTGTTCTTATTTGCCACTAATAACGGTAAAGAGATTTTTAAATCATTAATGGTGTCATACAGCACCCAGAAGGGAAGTTAGTTCCTGCAGTTGTAGCTGGGGGAAAAGTGCCTTTATTTCAGCTGAATCTTTCATTGCCTGGCTCCAGGTAAAACCATCTCCAATGTGGAAGAGTCGGTCACCCTGGATAATGGAGGCTTCACTGCTCTGGAGCTCAATAGCAGACACCTGATCAAGAGCACCTTCTCAAAGAAAAATGGAACCAGGTAAGAAATTGGCAACACCGAGCTCTTGGAAGTGGCTTTTTATCTAGCTTAAAGCAATTGTGAAATAGGCAAAGGGGAGAGAATGTTGTCTATAGGATCTAGGGAGGACTTTAATGCCCAAGTCACTGCCCCAGGCTGGGATGCTGGTTTCTAAGCATGATTTAATTGTGTCACATCCCATACACTCACCCTTTACATTTCCCAGGTCTCCTCCTCGCCCAAGCCCAGGGGGGCTGCACTACTCTGATGAGGATATCTGCAACAAGTACAACGGAGCTGTGCTGACCGAAGGCTTGGGCCTCAGTGAGAAGCCCTTAGAGGTATCAGAGTCAGAGGTAAGGTTTTCCCTTTGCCTTACCAAATGTTGTCCAGTCACTGCTGACATTCATTTGCCTGCTGAATCCTGGCAAGTCTTTGAAGTCCAAATCCCGTACCTGCATTATAGTGTTCTCACTGTTCGTCTTATCTTGGGGACTTTAAAATGTCCAATTCACTGGGCTGTTCACGTCATATCTTAAAGTGTCAAAGGAAAGAATAACAAGCAGGACCCAACCAGGGGAAACTCCAGACCTGGCCTTGGTGGATATTTGTGTTTTTCCAATGTTACACAAAAAGACAAGTGCAGTCAGTCAGTCAGCTAGTGTGTGCTGACCTTCCCTTCTACTTGTGGCTTGCAGACTTGGAGCACTTTTAGGAAAATCTACATATACTGCAAAATAGCCAGCTGGCTGCAGCTACCATCTGGATGATGGGACACCCTTTGGACTGTTGCATTGACTGAAGTATGGGATGTGGTTTGAAGTTCTCACAGTGCCTTTTTCAGAAAGCTAGAGCAAGCACCAAGGTTCAGAAGAGTGGTCTTGAGTGATGGTAACTACTGCCTCTGTTATAGGGGGAGTAAGTGGGGAATGAGTAACCTGCCAGGGAGCATATGGCCATATCTGTGAGTACTCAGCGTTCAGGTTTCTGAACATCCCAACCTGCAGCTTTAGTTTAACTCTAGTAGAGCCTTCTGTTCGGGTTGCTTTTAGCCTCTGTTATCAAAGGAAGGTGGGTATATGCTGACATTATCAATCTGGCAGTGCTCCATCTTGTGGCTCCCTCTAAGGAGAAAGAAAGTGCATGTGGCCTGTAGTCCAACAGGGACCAAGGGTGAATAGGCAGACTTCAAGGGACATCCAGAAAGGTAATTCTGTCTCTAAAACTGTGTTGTCAGCTGAGATCCTGACAAATCTGAACTGACAGCGCAAGAAGCGAGCAGTGGGCCAAACTACTCCAAACCTGACCCTTCTAGCAAGAATAAATCAAGAGCAGCAAATAGTGAAAGATGATGACAGTTTTCATCTGTAGCTTTTCTGCACCTGCAGCTACAGCTGCTTTTCCTGGCTACCTAGCTCTCACCTCCTGCTAATTACCATGGACAGCCTGCTGCTTTGTGCTGCCCTGTGGCCGACCTGTCATGCAGGCAGCTTTCCTTGGTGCAGCTCAAGCTGCTGTCTGTGCGACGTTACCCTCCAGATTAAACCCATAGTGCTTTGGTCATGTCACTGTAACAACTCGGCATTAAACCTGTCATTAAAAGAGTTTGCTGAGCATGATCACAAATTTAGCACTGGCACCTTTTGACATTCATTTCAATGCCCCATGTGGTATTTCCTGGTAATGTGCAGAAGTCTACTTGCAGGGTGTCATTACTGCCTTCTGTATGCACTGTTTGTGCAGCACAGAAGAAAGTAATTTTGGTTTGTTTTTTTTTTTCTCAGGCTATTATTAATATTATTTATTTACTGTGTATTGCAGTCGAGCCTGAAGGTCTCAATTGAGATTCTAATGTTTCTGTGAATCTGTGTGTGTATGTGAGTATCTGAACAAAATATGCCTCCTGTTTTTCCTTGGGGCTTAGATATGCAGGCTTTCTGTATAATGTCTTTGATGCCTGTTGGGTTTTTCTTGTGGTGGGGCGTGCTTTTAGTCGTGAAATGTTAATACACTCCCAGTAGAGGTAGCAATAGGAGATGCTGCCTTTTGATCAGCCTGAAAATGCTGTTTGTGTTTGCTGGTACAGACAAGAGGTGAGGGTCAGTTGGGGCAGAGGTGGGTATACATGTTTGACCACTCTCTTTTCTAGTATTTCTGTACCTATTAGCTCTTCCTGTTTGTCTTTTCTAATTTTGTGTGTTTGTGTATCTATTCTCGGAGGAGATCTTAACAACAAGTTCTGTTTTCTGAGAATTTCAGAATTTCCATCTCTCTTAACAGGCAGAAGTGTTTCCCATTATATGAAGAGTTAAAGATATCTTTATATAAGAGCTCTACACAGGTTGGGTCATCTGCAGCAAAAGGGGGTCCTTATGCTGTTCCCTCTAATACATCTTTGTGTGGATATCAAGTTCCACTTAACACAATGCACAAAAGGCCAGGCAGAGCTGAAATCTGTGCTTTTGCTTTCAACCCCCATGTCATCTTGTTGCTGCTTAGTCTTACCCCTGTTGCCTGAGGTGTCAAGATTTTATATGGAAAAGAAGGAAGCTCTCTGGCTTCAAGTCTCATGGGCTTTACTGAACGTGAAGAAGTCTGTGAAAAACTCTCAGGCTGACTGACTGCACTTGCAATTCATCTGCCTGGGGGCTTTCCTCTGAGCTCCCTCCTGATGAGGAGAGCAAGAGAGAAACAAAGAAAATCAAGAAGACCAAGCAGTACTCAATATCCATAAATCAAGAGGTTAACTTACTCCATGTCATGAAAGCCAAGCACTAGCGCTGTTAATGAGGTTAAAGTAGTTTAATTGGCAGGTATGGAGCAAGAGAGTGCTAAGAGTGTAATTTTTAAGTGATTAATAATAATAGGCTTTTAGATAATGAGTCAAGTGGACGAGGTTCTGGACAGATAATCTGAAGAAATCTGGTGTTCACCATGTACAGAAATGCGAAGATATATCTGCGATGGCACCCAGCCATGGAAGAGCAGTTTTACAGAAGGGAATGGTGTCTGTTTGTGTGTTCTCACATGTTCTTGTGGTCTCCCAAAACCTGTTTTCAGGAGATAGTATTCTCCCACATAGCACATGTTATCAGTCAGTGCTAAATGCTGGTGGTGCTCTGGTCTTTCCAGCTGCTCCCTGCAGTCTGGCTTTTGCTTTCCCAGCTCAGTAAGAAGATATTATAAATTTCCACTTAACACTTAATAGGGAATATGATTTAACTTGTTTCCAACAAAGTCCTCATGATTTTGACAAGTTGGGCACTGTGTGGAAACCACCTGCAGGTGACACATTAAAACGGCAAGGGTTCCTTGCGTCCAGAGAAATCTTTTTGCATACTAGGCTACCTTGTTTCTTTTACAGCATTTCACTTCAATTACATTCATTTCATGTCAACCAGAAGAAACTGCTGCCTTCTACATTTTTAGAAATAATCTCATAAAGTTGTTCCTTATGCAGTCACTTAAAAAAAAATGGAAAGTAATCGGAGCTATTTGCACTTTTCCCATTCACTAAACTGGCCAGCTCTGGTTGCTGTCTTGCCTCTGAACAGCACTTGGGTACTTTGTGCTATCAATAAAATACTTAAATAGGCTCCTATTTTCTGTATTTGTTATTTCAAAGGCATCCATGCACCTTTGGTTGACAGTTGGTAATGTCACCGCACACCCAATCCCGCTTCAGTCTATGGAGGTTTCCAAGGTAACAAAGCCACAGTCAGGGAAGGGAGAAAACTGAAAACAAAGCAAAAAACCCTGCAGCATTTCTATTTACTCAATAGTTTAAAAACCACTAAAAAGTAATCCTCTAGTATAAGCTGTCTGCATTGTCATGCAAAACAGGTTTATCTTGCTACTTCTTGATTTTCATCAGGGCAGAGAGGGATGTGGGATGGAAATTTAGGAATTTCCTTGCTGGTAAGCATGGTTCAGAGGAGAACTTCGAAGATACTTTAGAAACATTGGAATAGTCAGTTCCTGCCTGTTCTGTGGGAAACACAAAGAAAACAGACTGTGTTGGCACTAACAGTAGGTTATTCTTTCCAGCATCAGTGCTAATGATAGTGGAGTTTGGCTATATATGTTTCATGAAAGTTGCTTCTGAAAGGCACTGGCCTTATTTACACCAAATCAGTGTTCTCTTTCACTTGGTATCACGAACAGATTATCAGCAGAGGGTATTGTTTTGAATTCTCTCTTTCTGTTCATGATAAGTTTCATATGGCAGCAGCCCATCTAAAAGTGTTCCCAGTATTTCTTCTCTTTATTATGTTGACTTTTGGCAGTCTTGAAAGAACTTGGCTTAGGTACAGAAATTATATTAGTTTTGTGGTGAGTGTTTTTCTGCTAGCAATGGACAGAAATCAAGGGCCACCATCAGTATATTATTATACCTAGCAAGTCCTGTGTTGCTTTTCTGGATGCAGCTTCTTCTCAGCATTTCTTCTTAGAGCTTTTGATTGTCTTGTTTCTATATGTTTGTGGGGACATCAGGAAGACCAGTAAGGAGCCACTAGAAGTTTGTGGTGGGTTTTCTTTTCTTTACGTTACGTTTGTGATGCTGTGATTCATCTTTACAGCAGGGGCTTGTCTCTTTGGAGAGTGACCAAGTCAGTAATAGTGATGGTGGACTGGGGAAGGAGTGACCCATAACCTGTTCAGGATGCGGAGACTTTTCTTCTGGATGCCCACATCACCCCTCATCTTCCCAGTCACATTTAACCTTAATAGTAGATGATGGAGCTGCAGCAGAATGTTTGAAGGTGTAGGCTGGTGCAAAGTGTAACAACTCTTTTCTTGATAAGAACTGAAGAAACCAGGGTTTGCAGACCTTTGGTCTGCAGGTAAAGTTGGTTGCATCTGCAGCTGAGGATGAGCCAACCTGAGCTGTCACTGCCTGCTGCTATGCCCTGCCATGCTGCCACATCTGCAGTCAGCAGAGGCACTTTTGTTGGAGCCCCTGACAAAAATAGACTGGGTAGTGCTGGCAGGATGTTCCCTGCACTGGTGCCAAGGCTCTGGAACTGTTGCCTGCAGCCTCTGGCTATGAAGTGGTCCAAATCTGGGAATATTCCAGGCATGCCACAAAAAACACCTATTCAGGAAGGTCAGTGGAGAGAGTTGGGTGCTGGATTCTCAAGGCTGGCAGTTGGTGCAAAAGAGTGTTTTTCTAGAAGATAGACTTGTCGAGTTCCTTGTGGAATAAGTATTAAATGCTGGTAGGGTTTTGTTGTAATAGTAATTACATGTCAAGGCACCTGAGGCTTTGTAGTCTTCAAATAATCAAACAGTACATCATTCCAAAAGAGCCAAAGCATGGGTAATGGAGGAAGGGCAATTTTGCCAAGCTGTAAAGAGCTGCTTTACTCAGACTTTTGGAAAACTGGGAAAAATTTCTCAGATCTGTCCATCACCCTCTGTGCTGCAAAATGGGCACAAAATAGTATTGAAGCAGGTATCTAGGCAAAGAAGCGGGATGATGGATGCGGTGCCCTTTTCAAACGATGGTTCGCAAGGCATTTGAGGATTGTTCTTCAGAGACCATTAAAAAGGAGCTTTAGAGAAGGAGAGACTAGTTGTGTGGCAGACAGGATCAAGAAGGATGTGTGTTTGCTGTGAGGTGTCATAGATCAGAATGATACCAACCTTTTGAAACTGATTGCAGCAACTAACGGTTACGAGCTGCACTTACCTGCCTCTCTCTTGCAAGTCTTAGGCAGCTACTACTTTGATGTTTAATTGCCTTTAGAATTGGTTATGTGGATTATTGGGGGGGGGGGGAAATAAAAGCTTTTGCATGCTCAAAGGAGAGATTCTGAGAGAAGGCATGAGATACAGAAATGACTGGGTAAATGCTTGTGTGCTGTATGGGATGGGTCCGTTATAGGTGGGAACAGAAGGAAAATGTGCACTTAGATACTGTGACTTTGCTGTGATCTCTGCACTCGGAGATGTACAAGCCCTCTGTGATTCCTCCAGCTGTATCACAGCAGCAGTACTTCAGAAGAGGGACAGATGCACAAAGCTTAGCTGGTTATATTTCACTAGAGCTCTCACTCACTATTGATATGAGCTTTAAAGCTATGCAGCCGTCATGCATCAGTGTTTCAAGTGTAGATTCACTCTGAAAACAGAGCTGTTCTCAAGACATTCCAGGAAAGCCACCCCTCCTGTCTGGCTGTTGTTCTCCAGATTTTGTGTTCTCTTTCTTCTGTCACCACTGGTTGTGCATCTTGTTGTACCACCAATAATCAGCCTGAACATATACAGATAGACATGTTTGCCTGAAAAAAAACGGTGATTTTGCATAATTCCCTTTCAGTGATAGAACTAATTTTCAATGCTTAAAAGCTCAACCCAGAGCACTGTGCAAGTGCCCTGGTTTGACCACAAACAACAGCATGTCTGGCTAACTTCAGTGTGTTTGCAGGGATGTCCTTGCATCAGGAGAGATATTCTGAGTTGTAATTGCAGTCTTGTTGATTATGTGATTGAAAGCTGTTGGTTTCTCTGTGGCATCTCTACACTTCCGTGCATCTTTTGTCAACGTAGCTCCCACAGCAGCATTCTGCAATGAATTAGGAGGGATTTCTCTGCATCTCTTATCACCAGTGTTCATCAGGGGACTCTCCCTCTAACAGCAAAGCCTGGCTAAACCCAGAGCACAGTGCTTTTCTACAGGCCAGCATGTATTACACTTGGACTACAAACCATCCTACCCTTATAGGGTAGCTGGTGATATTAAACTTGTCTCTGATTTCTTCTAAGGTGGAACAAGCTAAATCCTGGATGCTAATGGCTGATTTATGTTTTTTTTTTTCCTGATGCTCCAGGCCACTGACTCAGATTATGAAGATGAGTTGCCAAAGCACTCCTTTGTGAACCATTACATGAGCGACCCCACCTACTACAACTCATGGAAGCGGCAGCAGAAAGGTGTGAAGCACCCAGCATCCTACAGATATGAGGAGTGCGCCGCCAGCGAGACAGAACCCTATTTCCAGACTGTCATCACGACACAGAGCTCAGGAGGGGTGTACACCCCAATGGGACAGCCTGCGCCCGGCTCCCGGACTCCAGTGACAGGGTTCTCCTCCTTTGTTTGAGACGGGAATGGAGGATGGAGCCGAACTGCCGGCGGCACTCGGAGGGGGGGACCCGGCGCAGTGACTATGTGTGCGGTGAACTGTGGGTAACTTCTCTATCAGGGTAGAAATGGATGGGAACACGGATGAGGCTGGGGTTTGGGTATTTTTCCTGAAGACAATCAACTCTGAGAACATGGAGCTGAACGAGCTGAACCTTTGTTTAAAAGAGGAAAAAAAAAAAAAAAAGGAATTCTGAAAAGTGATGATTTTAACCACTTGTGAATAGTAGGGGTTTTTTAACTGCTTTTTGTAACACTGCTTCAGGAAGCAGCTCCCACACCCTTCTCTTTCCTCTTTCTTTCTCTCCCCTCCTTCTGTCCTGCCTTTCCCAAACAAGGAGGTGAATTCCCTAGATGCAATGAGTGACTTTGTAATGTGATTTGAAGAGAAAACATAAAACCTCCCAGGCTCCTTTTTCTTTTGTTTTTTCTCTAGTTTTTCTTTTTTCTTTTTAACTTTTCCCTGCCATCAAAGCCAAGTAGGAAGACATAAAAGGGACAAATTCTTACATGAAAAGCAGACATCTCTCTCCTCATTGCTGCTCCCCAGATTAAGAGCACTGGCTGATCAGTTTAGGGTCAGATGTGTCTGCTCTAGGCTCACTACCAGTGTATTTATACTGCATTATTGACCTGCTTTTCTTTGTTGTTCAAATGGGACCTGCTGCATTCTTTAATATTCCAACTCCAGGACCTTTGGAAGAGGAGATGGCTCAAAAGAGCACTGTAGGCAGTAGTGGGTGAAGGAAGTGGGAAGAATTCAGATGCAAGGTCAGTTTATTTTTGGTGTGGCTCTGATCCTCCCTCATGGACTGCATGTACCATTTGAATTGGTCACTTTTAAGAAGTCAGTGGACACAACCCAGCAAGCCAGAGGAATCTCTTCAGTTAAGACTGCACCAACAAGCTAGAGAGTCTACTAACTGATGAGGTTTCTGATCATCAAAGTTATCCTGCCCTGTCAATAGCAGTTGAACACCCTTTCTTGCCCAGACTCCACAGTACTGCTTACTGGTGTGTAAACCAGTACACAGTAGCTGGGTTTGTTTGATTTGATTGTGCAAAGACACATCGCACAGACTGGGTGAGTTTTGGTGTCCACAGGTGCCTTTTATTGATTCTTCAGCTTTGTATCTGGCAGAAGTGTCTCCAAATACAGCTAACCAGGTTCTGCAAGCATTAGGGTCATGAATTACCTTGCACACATTTACAGTCTTCTTTGTGCCCTTGAAGCTATAGCCTTTGAAAGAAGAGAGAGGATTTTTAGTTCGTTTTCCATCCTTTTGTATAAGTCACTTTTTGTTTTCTTCTTTTCTGTCCTTTTCCTGAGTCTTGTCATGTTTTTGCAGTAAGTTGTTTATGTGCAAGGAAGTTATCAGTTTAAAGAGAATCCAAGTCCAACCCTTGGACCTAACAAGAGCCCTGGATCACCATACATTTTAACCACAAGAGTTCTAAAGCTGAATTTGGAAGTAGGCAAGTCCTTGCCACTCCAGCATCTGGCATTTCCTCCCAGATGAATGTAAGTCAGCCAGGACAATTGATACCCTGCTGCTTCCTGACATCCCATCAGGGCACATGTGGGCACTGCTATTGCAAATTGTCCCTGGCCTCTCTGGAGGGATGTGGGACAGCTGTGGCACTGGGTGCTGGTGTCTTCAAGGCAGGTTAGTGAAATCAACCTGGCATTGATTACAGTGCTGCCTGTTCCTGCCCACAGGGGGTGGTTGGAAGTAGCCTGGTGGCATCTCACCTGAACAGTTGAGGTCCAAGGGCAAGCTCAGCCTTGCTGTCACATTTCAGTGCCTCTTGGGCAGGGCAGACAAGCTCAGAACTGCTTTTCCTCTTTGGCAATGCCTCCAAGCACTGCTGCTCTTGGTGCATACACGTTCTGGATAGCTTTGGCACTGGATTGCTGTTCCTCTCCAAAGGCTCCAGAAAGAAAAAGTTCAAAACCAAAAACTCCAGTGGGTGTGTTTAAGGGCTTTTGAGTTTGGGATAATGATCCCCACACAGCTCCTTAGATGGCAAGGAATATACAAAGACATGAACTTGAGCCAAACCCTTGTGAGCCGTCCTCCTCTCTGCACCTGCATAGGATGTGTGTGGGATGGAGAAGGGGCTCTAAAAGAATGACTGAGCTTACTGTGAAGAGGAATGCAAAGCAAACAAAACCCCCACTGCCTTCTGTGCACTTTGACTGTTCTCTTAAGCCATATGGACTTTGCTTTAATTACTGAGCTGCCAAAATTTGTTTGCTGTCTGATTTTTTTTGTTGTTGTTTCTTAGAGAAAATCATCTACATGCCTTTCTGATTTGTTTTCTTTGTCTTTTGTTATTTCCTGCATCAGATTACGTATTTTAAACACCTTGTTTTATATCCATGTGACATAGCAATGCAATTGCTGTCGGAATTTTAGTGGTGCTTATCCAACGGGTATGAGAAGTAGTGCTGTTCAAGGACCACTAAGGGCTTAGGGCTATAGATTAGTAACAAGTAGATGGAACACTGAAGAGTTTGTTCCAAAGGAAAGCATAGTGCAAGCAGCTCTGTATCTCCTGAGTATTGCCAGATCTGTATCGGTGTAAGGTGCAGTTAATCCCTGGGGCTGATCTGATACCTCATTGAGCAAAAAAGCAAGGGAACAATGAGGAATAAAGGAAATGGACTTTGTGGCCACTGCTCCACTGAATGACAGCGTGGGGAGCAGCACGATTTATACAAAGTGAGGAGAAGAGACTGTTCCTTTTTTCTCAGAGCCATCTGCTGCTCAAAAGCCTGAGCTTGCTGAGTTGGCTGTATGGCTCTTTTCTTCTGGCTGCTGCCAAAATAATAGGTTAGGTGTGATTCCTTTAGGACCTGTTGATCCAAACAAAGGTATTTCTGTTCCAGTCCAGTCCACAGTGGTTTTATTTTACTTAAGCAATTGCAGAGCATGGAAGTGCACTGCCCTGCTCATCCATGAGATGAGCATAGGATGTGTGTTCTGCTGGCCAGGATCCTGCATAGCTACATGCATGATGCCTGTGCCTTCTTGTTAACGTGTAGTAAGGAAATATGATTAATGGGTAGATTTTATTTACCTCAGATATCAGGTAAACTGTTCTATCTGGAAGGAAGCACTCCATCAGTTAGCAAGAAAGCTTTATTTCATAGGTGTAATCTCTGGGAATCACAGCCTTGAAATATGCCTTTTAAACATTAGTTGTCATGTTACAATAACTTCACCCATCAAATCCACTTCTCTTTCTGTCTTCTTGTTTAGAACAATCTTGAAAAATGAAGGCTTATATTTAAAACACGTTCTTAGGATATTTTGTTTATTTACTTAGCAATGATTCTTGGGGTCTCTTGGTGCTGGATTTAATAGGAGCTCATTTTTCATGCAGTAGCCATGGAAATATCCAATTTCCTGCAGGAAAAATGTGGCCAAGTGTCCATCCCCCTCCCAGGGCTGAGATGACACCAGCCATCACCATCACCAGTGCTCCTGTTGCTCCCAGTGGCACCAAACCTCAAGTTGTACCTATCATAAATCATGTGCAAAAGAGCACATAAGTGAAAAAGATGTACCACTCCACTCAAAGTGGAGCATTTTTATCCCCCCGGAGTCAGTATGACACATAATCTTCAGCACAGCCCACACCTTTGGGTGGAATATTTTCCATTCCCATCTTTTAATCCTCCAATTTTGGTGCACTACCAGTGCTGCTTGGGTGCAAGTGGCAGCAGTGAGTAGGGACTGGAGAGGGAGCTGTTTTACTTTCATTGGAAGTCTCTTTTTCCCTACCCTGAGAGTCACCTCTGTGAAACTCCTTCATGGGGAGGGCATGGAGAAGGGAGAGCCCAGAGCAAGGGGTTTCATCAGTGGTTGCTAAACGAATCACACCATGACCAGTGATCCCGCTTTGGAAGCAGTTGGCATTACTGGAGAGAAGGAAAAAAAACATCCAGAAAAAGAAAACTAATCCATTACCCAAAAGGATTATTTTTTCCCTCTTCATTTTGAGTGTTAAAGCCAGTGATGCTTTTCAGGTGGTCCAGGATCTCATTTTCCTGTTTATACCCAGGTCTCTGCCAGAAGCTGCTGCAGCAGTTGTTTAGAATAAATGTCCAAATCTGTCTTGACACAAGGATGCATTTATTATCCTTGTCATTGCTTCCCTCAAGAAATCCATTGGGTCATCCAAAGATTATCCAGTCTGCTCTCCAAAACAAGGAGGAGAGATGGCTGTTTATACATACAGAGCGCTGGTGTCTTCTCCCACTTGCTGGTTTTAGATCATGCAGGGCAACTTGTTTCTGAAAAATCCTTTTAGAAAAGGAATTTACTGGGAAATGTCAAAAACTAAACCCCAAAATTATCCCACAAGAAAGATAACCCTTAGCAGGGCCACTGGAATTCCTGAAGTCCTAGAAACCTGTGAGATCTAAAACTGAATGTGATTCCTAGACCTCCTATCTGTAGTGATCTCCTTTGTCAATAGCAGTCAGAAGGGCATGTGCAATGAGGGGTTGTGTTTGGAGAGGAAAAGCCAACACAGAGCAGTTGCTGGATGGGCAGGTTGTACTGCAAACAGCTTCATCCAACCTGGAGCTCCTGCTAGTTCAGTCACATTTCTTAGGTTGTTTTCATAGGGTTTTGCTGATGTGTGGAGTCCATACATCATCATGGCAATACTAGAGGTCACATGGGGAGAGGTATGTTGCCGTGGTGTTTACACAAAGCCACATGCATGACCACATGGTTGTACAGTATCCATTGAAATCGCCTTAGGGAAAGCCACCTTTGAATTAGTAGCACATTTACTGAACATTTTGGGCTGGGCATGGGCATTAAATAGCTCCACCTAACAAGTCCCTTCAGTTCTTTATACTTCTGTATCCCTTCTCCCCTGCATCTCCACCCCCAGCCCTCCCAGATAAAGTTGGCTTTGTACTTTGTGAAGGTGTAAAGTTTGCCACTCCTGGTAGAAGAGAGCCACAACCGATAAGCACACACATAACACATTGAACAAGTGAGATCTGTTTGAACAACAAGTGAGATACCACTGGGACTTGAAATTCAGGCTCCGACTCAGAACTCTGTCTTTTCAAAGCTGCCACCTTCCCATTTTAAACGGCCTTGGAGTCTCAAGACTTAGCAGGAAATTCATTATTTTGATACTGTTTGATCACTGTGCACTTTCTTGGGGCTTGAATCACTGGATGTAGAGACTGGAATGGGGTTACAGAGCTTTATATTGGAGTGCTTTCCCATTTATGTCTTATTCTCTAGATCTGGGAATGACACCTTTCTGCTACCATGTGGTGGAATTCTGCAAGAGGGGCAGCTAGGAAGCACCATGGGTGCTCCCCCTTTGATGTTGTCATGCTCCTGGGCAGTGCTGGGACCTGTCACAGTGTGGTGGGAGCTCTTGGGTAGCAGAAAGATGCAAGGACACCGTGTTATGGAGAGTTTGTAGCCGCTCACTTTGCCACTCTTGGGATGGAATCCATCCTCTGATTTGGTATCTGCTGTCAGTTTAGGGGTAGGAGCACCTTACACAGCTGTGTTTGAGTTACCCTTCAGTGTACTACGGTTATCAGATCATTGCTTTTAATTCAGTGTCTCCTTGGGGATTTGCCCTGGATTTTTGTTCCACACCTCTTGTTAGCCTCACCTTCACCACTCCACTATTTTATATGAGAAAGTTACTTCTTCTTTTGCAAACTTGCTTCTAATTAAAAGAACCCTTTTGGAAACATGCGCGTCCTTGGTACATTTCTTTTTGGGGAAAAGAAAATATTCTCTAGCCTCTTTCTGTTATTTTTGTCTTGAAGAAGTTTCTGGGTGCCTTGCCAGCATGCTGATGAGTTAACAGCTCAGGACAGTGAAAACGTAACACACTGAAATTCCTCACTTAGTTCTGGACTGTAAAATCTACAACCCCTGCTGCTTTGCAGCTAAACTGACTCTAATGGTTTCCACCCTAAATTTGATCAGCCTTAAATATTTTGTTATTTTACAATGGGAAGCTTCTTCCAGATCCTGAATAAGGGAGAGTCTAAACTCATTCAGAAGTGGAAACCACCTACAGAATAGTGGGGCCGCTATTCTGTACACCTTCATCCCCTCAAATAATACTTGTCCTCCCCTGCAGCGTTGTAGCAGCCATTGATCTGTTCCCACAAAGGTGCTGGCATTGGGGATGCAGGACTAGATCTCAGCTGATGGAAATCAGGGCAGCTCTGTTATTCCAGGTTGATTGCTGGGGATTTTCACCAGCTGAGCATCTGGCCTAGAGAAGTAAACTAAACCCAGTCAGGTTTGCTACAGCTCTGGTGGGAAAAATGAGGGGGAGAAATCGATGTTTTCTAAGTGGGAGAGTTGGGGGTTGGGAAGAGAGGGAGGAAAAAGTCAAACTGTTGAGTAAAGAATTCATATCTCTTATAATATCTCTCCTGAAAGGGATATTATAAATAATGCAGTGTTGTATAAATACAAGTGGTCCTGTGTGGCTGGTAGCTTGTAATAACCCAGAGGTATCAACGTACCCATTTTGAAGATCAAAATCCTCACAGTGCAGTGTTTTGTGAACGAGACATCCTGCAAAACTACCAGAAGATGCAGAAGTGCTTTTCTGAAGTCATCTGGCTCCAAAGTGCGTAATCCTCCCGCTTCCAGCCCTTACTCTTCTCAGAACGTGTTTCCTCCGCACATGTTATCGTGGTTAGGATTGGAGCATGGACTTAAACACGGGAGTGAATGGGAAATCTGCCACAGCATTTGTAGTCTAAACAATACCAGAGAAAACACAGAGGTTGGCTTCCTGCCCTGCCCTGACCAGCCCAGGCAGTGGCTTGACTCAATCAAGTAATCTGGGCTTTCATTACTGATCCTTTTCCTTCTATTTGTCTCATTTGATTCTTCTTCCTTCTGCATTTTTGCTCCAGGGTTATTTATTTTCCTCTTTGCTTCTTTCTTTTTAAGCCTGCCTCTTGTTGTTTTTTATCTCTCCACCTCCTGCCTCACCAATTACTTTCATTTGAAACCTGCATTTCCCACAAAATCAAAAAGAACTTTAGCTGAACACATGTTTTTGCCGAGGTTTTGTTCATTTCCACTGTGCCCCAACAACAGGAGTCCTTTCGCTGTCTTGTTTCCTCTGAAATGCAGGGCATGTCCCACTAAGCCAAGGCAATGTGGCCACTGGTAGAGACCTTCATTACATAGGCAATTGGCATGTTCATTACTGGTTGTAAATGAGTTTGGATAATCCTAAATCGGAAGAGTCTGATGGATGAAGTCATTCAGTGAGGTTTCACAAGGCAACTTTCTCAGCAGCACCGAAACTGGTGAAGTCATTTGCACAGTCCAAGAATCTGTACCTGTCTTATGGAGGAATGAGCAAACAAGAAACTATTGATGCATTCCAGTGACAATAACACCTCAGAGGAAGAAGCAGCCAACACCCACAATTTCATTCAAAGGCTCTTCCCTGCATTGTGCAATTTCCAGGACATTCAGTGCACCACGTGTGCTGACCTGGCTGGGACATGCACTCTAGCAAAGCAACAGTGCTCACAGTGATGAAACCATGGGCTTGTCCTTCACCCTGACCCTTCATAATCTGAGTTCATGCAAATGCTTGCACTTTCTTCACTGAAAAGACAGTGCAGATAAGGCTAAAAGCAAGTCTGGAAAACGACCTGTAATATAGCCTGGGGCCTCATGCCAACAGTGATAAAATGCCTTACAAACTCAGGTAACCTCACAGCAGCCCTATTGAACTGGGGAGGATTAATATCCCTCCTTTGGTAGGAGGAAGTTGAGGCACAGGCCAGCTTTGCCTGTGGGACCAAGCCACATTTTGTGTGACTGGTTGTGCCCAAGTGGCCTCAATTGCAAATATCCTCAGTGCATGGCGAAGGAAATACATCTTTCTTACAGAACAGCAGGATGAGTTATTTTTGGGTCCCTCTAAATGGTCTGTTTTCCAGCACTATCATTCTTTCCCTGCCAGGGGAACATGACTGACCTAATTTGAGTCTTAATTCCAACAGTACAAGACCCAATTTGTTAGCCCAAACTTTTTTATATATAATTTTGTGTTGGTTTTTGTATAGTTACAAGTACATCTGATGGGTATAAACACCCCAGAGGTGAGGGGCAGGGGAGGAGCAGAGCAGTTGGAGTCATTGGAAAAGCTGAACTATGGAGAATTTGGGATGAAGCAGGGCCAATTTCTGGATTGATTTATAAGATTATGACTTAATCTGCTATGAGACTCTATCCTCTGGGATTAAACCTCGCATGACCTGGTGGAAATTAGGAAATGTTTTAACTCCCCACTATAGAAAGGACTGGCAGAAGCAGGATGCAGGATTCAGCATTTCGATCTTCCATCCAGCAAAAACCATCCAGGGTGATCGATGAAAACACTTCTATTGATCCATAGCTGCCTCTGGACCGCAGAAGAAATTAAAGAGGTGAGAAAAAGATGCTCATTTTCAATAAAGCTTTTCATGAAACAAGTGAAAGTTAATCCCACCAGCTACACATCTGGCTTTAGTTCCTATAGAAAAATCCTGCTGGATTGAGCAAGAAAAATCACCGGGATGTAGATTGAAAAATCCTCCTGGAGGGGTTGAGTGAGAAGCTTCCAGCCATACCTGCTTGGATTCTTGGGATGGGCTGTGCCTGAACATACTCGGGATGGTTTGCATCCAGCACCTGCTGGCGGGTTGTCCACAAAGCTGAATGAATCACAAGTGAAACAAATTCATCCCTGCCCCTTAGTCCATGCTTAGGGTGTGCCTGGAAAAATCAACCAGAGCCCAGGCACCAGAGAAGAGATGGACCAAACTCTGCCTTTGAGCAATGATGCTGCTCTGAGTGCTGGGTCTGGCTGAGCAGAGATCCTGGCTCTGAGATGGATTACACCCACTGGGCTGGCTTTAACATGTGTCCCTGTGAGATAGGGTGAGCTTGGAGGTAAGTGGATTGTGGTAGAAAGGGCTGGATGTCGTGTGTTTAAAGCTGATGTCTTCAGGGCTGCATCATGACTTTCGTTTTATTCTGGCTTGACTTCTGATCTGGAAGTGGCTCGGCAGAAATTGAGGTCATTGCAAATGTGTCAGTGCCACTTTGCTTTCTGCAAAGCACTGGCTGCTTTACAAGTGAGCCCGAGCTACCAGCTGGGAGGCCTGAAAAGACAGAGAAGTTCTTCTCTGGCAGGCGAAGGAGAGGTTGTCCTTGGAGGAGCTGGTGTCCAAGTGCATGGGGGGTGCACACAGCACCGTCCCCTCTGTGTTTATGTGCTTGGTTTTAGGCTGTAACACTGATTGTGGCTTGTCATTTTCCATCCTTTCTTGGAAATTATAGAGGAGTGAAAGGGAGATGGGTTTCAGCTGTTGACGCTTACAGGAGCATTCAGCAGCTTTGCTGGATGAAAGGAGCAACGTGGTGGTTTTGCACTGCAGAGGTCTCAGAAATAGCCAGGCATGAAGTGTTGTGTGGTTTCAGGCTCAGCAAGAGGGCAGGCAGAAAGCAGTGCCAGCCCCCTGTCATCCCCCGGCTGCTGGAGCTCTTCAAGGAAGTTGTACATCTGGTGCTTTCCCATTTAGTTCTTTCAAGAGGCTCATTGAGAGCAAGGTTTGTAAGGAAGAGCCAGAAATAAACAGCTCATTATCCCATTTGTGGGACAAGAGGAACATGAGAAGAGAATTGTTAAAGATGGGACAATCGGTGAATAAAAGCCTGATTTTTAGCAAGGCTGACGTTTTGCTCTATCTGTTAGGAGGCTATCGTATGTTACAACATGAGTTTCTCCACAGCATGTGGAGGGAAGGGAAATCTCTGAGTCTACAATACAGCAGCTAAAGAAGAAGCCTGAGATGCAGCAGAGCATGTGTTTCCTGGGAGAGGTCTTCTACTTAGTGGTCCATGCAAGACTTCTCTCCCCTTGGCCTCATTCACTCCCTCCTACCACGCAGTGTTAAAATCACCTCTCCTCTGTGGAGAACTCTCTAGTTTAAGGGTTTGTACCTCTGTCTCTCTGGGAGTTTTTACAGACAGAATGGGGTTTTGTTTGTCAGTCCTGCATGAGGTTTAACATCATCCTCTATTCCCCACCAATTCAGCTCCTGTTTCCCCAGTTGCTCTAAGATGTATTGTCCCATTTTTACAGTTATGGCCCTATCAGTGACTATGGCCAGATACCACAGCTCAACTCCCCTTCTGTTTATGCTAACCATGGTGACCATCAGCTTTTGAATCCCCACACATCTACCTTGCTTGGCCACACATCCCCTCTTGATGCAGAGGAGTGCAGGGTGCTGATGACAAGAACACAAACCCAGGGAAAGCATCCAGCACATGAAAGCCAAGCTCCCTGCCCACTGCTGTGATAAGGACTGGTTGATATCATGTGAGTTAATACTGAACCCGGATTGCTGTCAGCATGGTGTGACAGGAGCAAACATGCCAAGAGTCACCGCGGTGCAATGGGCACTGTGATGGCCAGTGGATGAACGTGGGAGGCATGTGGGGCTGTGGCAGTGTCCAGGACTATAGGAGACTTTGCCATGGGGGGAAGCAGGGGTCACACTAAGTCACTCCTGTCCCCATGGTGTGAGAATAGTCTTTTTATGCACTGTGAATATTGCCAGGCCTCCCACAAGCCTCTTTAGAGTCCTTGGGTTTTCTTATTAATGCAGAAAGCAATGGCACCATGTTGGTGTCAGTAAGAAGGGAGATGTCA